TCCAGCTTTAGTAGTTCATGTCTAGAAACTACAGGATTTGAATAGTTCCAACATCTCCAAGAATTCAAAATTTGCTTCTTCCTGGTTGAATTGACACCAAGTTTTCTTCTATTGGATGGATATTYTTTTTTAAACTTCTAAACTATTTATATTCTACGATGTACRRCAGGCACATGGGTATGTATGTGCACACAGGGGTATGTATGTATACATTGCAACAGCAGCTGACCATAAAATATGCATTGCAACAAGATCATACTTGATAATATATTAACATGTATTAAACATTAAATAACGTCAAAAATGATAGAAAAACTTTAAAATTGATGCCAAGTTACATATTTTGTAAATATTTMAAAAAKGTTAATTGCCAGAAGTACAATTTGGCATATCATGTGTGTCAAAACTATCTATTAGTCAAATGTACGAAAGAAAGTTTTCAATTGACTAATCTTCATCATTCTTATCAGACACTTTGCTTATAATACTTCCTGTCGTCTAATTAGAGCACAAAGTCTTCCAAGACCAACAACAATTCCTGCCATATCTTGTTACACCTGTGTATATGCGTCACAAGTCCCCAAACAATTCGAAAGGCTTACACCAAACAACCAATTTGATGTGGTGGTTGAAAGTTGCGATGGTCGACAATTGATGTGGTYGGAAAGATTTAAATTAACAAATATAAAATAGTAGGTTATGATTGTATATACATTAAGCTATGGTGAGGCATTCTTTGGCATCTAGGACTACTTCAAACTTCTTAACAGAATTAGTCCTACCTAGATGAAGTGAAAACAAAAGACGACAAACCAATTTAAACCTCTTCAAAACATAACCAAGGGGCTGTTGACAGCAGGAATAGAGTTTTTGAAACAAAACCAAAACCTGTAGAGCACTATAAAGGGAACTGATGGAGGCTTAATAAAAGAGAGAAACACACGCCCTATGGCCCAATGCTTAACAACATCAATCGCAGGCAGGGGTCAAGAAAGAGAAGGGTTGGGAACATCATTAAGTTGCTGTGATGCAGATTAATRAAAACATCCTAAATGAAATGAACCTGACTATAATCTCTAATGGTCATAACTTTTTTGGACCTCCCCAATATATCACATTAATGGTGACGAAAACTATTATAGGAAATCAACCGTTACCTTCAAACTATGAACACTAAATTTATGATTGATCAACGTATTTGCAAAGAAGATAAACCTTTTATGATCAACTACCTATTTAGCTCCWCATCATAAAGTTAGTCAGTWGCTACTTTTTAAATTTTGTGCTTCTAATGATGCTAGGTAACATCACTTGCAAACAAACAAGGGGCTTGTTTATAGAAACAACCTAAAGTAGCAGCCATGAAATCAAGACAAATGAAGTGTAACATGAACARATTTARARATAAGAGTAAGATTAGTGCTATACAATTACATAATCAACATGTATGACTGTTTCTTAGGGGTTTGTTTATTACARAATCAACAAGTACGACTAATAGATATGACTGTTTCTTAGGGGTTTGTTTATGCAGAACCATGTTCCAGAAAGTGCTAGAACCATGTTCTGTTTTGCAATTATATTCCTACACTTATATACAAAGTGCTAGAACAATGGATTTTTACATCAAGCATCTGTTTATGCAGGATAAGAATACAAAATAAAAGGACAGGACTTCAGAATTTTCTGGCAYRTGACGCCTATGTCTACTTWGGAGGCTTTCTGGTYATTAGATGAAAATTTGCAYATATTTTGGATTTCAAAATTTACATGTGAAACAAAGACATTATCAAACAATGCAAGAAGGTATATATTGCCTAAATGTCACTTCATGTGCCACACAGTTAATTGTGATTCAAGTTGAATATTCCAACACTGATTAATTTGGACATTGACATTGTATGGAGAAAACATGAGAAAGCAAACATCAACGTTGTTTACAAAAAAGTTACCTGACTATCCTCCCTGATTCTTAAATTTTGTCCTGTTAGATTCAACAAGTCGTTAACAACCTGAAGAAAATAGGAATCTTAAGACTACAACATTGCATAACAGAAACCAGGTGTCATGTAGGTTATCCATATATATTATTCAATGTGTTGATTTGGTATGGTCATAAGTGGCATTTATGCAGTCCACATGTGTRCACAAGCCTTACACCAACCTTAYAGTGATGTGAACTTATAYTGTCAAAGCATTATCCTACACCAACCTTACAGTCCCTCTGTCTAAAAGAGGAGATACAATCTGAACTTTGAGAGATCAAATTGATTTTGTTAAAGACAACAGCAAAGTTTTTTATATTTTATGTTATGGTATGCATAAAAATATCCCCAAATACAGATGATGCATTATTTTGGAAAGATACAAGCATTTATTCAGCTAACATGCTCATTCAGATTATAACCCTTAAATTGAACAATTTTAGTTTGTTACCAGGACTGTGTTGCTACTTGCTCTCGTTTGAACAGATTGATGGCTTTGTATTCATAATCAAGTAATGTTGGCAAACGACAAACAACATACTCAAATTAAATATCTATAATTGAAATGCATATTAGGAGCATGTACAAACCAACACAATACGCAATCTCATATTTGAGACAATTTCGTCATCAAACTCCCACCATAGGCCTGTATCTTGATCTTTAAAGTGGGCTACATAGAGGCCACTGTTAACATACAAAAAGATATGTAAATCAAAGGATTACCTGGACCGAGTCTTGAATACCTATGGTTGAATAGAAAGCGGAACCTAATACTTCCAGCAACCTAATATCAGCATACCTCGTTGGAATCAACGGAGGAATCAAAATCACGTCTGAAAAATCTTCAGCTGCAAATCGAAATGGAAATGGAAATCAAAACTGAAATGGAATTCTAAATCTAAATCGAAATTAAAATCAGTAGCATACCTCAGAGAAATCTTTAGAGTTTTGAAGATATGGTAGAGAAATCAAACCACAAAGAGGGAGTTATATGGAGCGATAATTAAGGGATACATCAAATCGGTCACGTGAACATTGAAGGAAGAAACTCTGTTCTAGGTGATACATCAAAGCAGCGTCTGAAGACTGTGAGGGAAGAAAACAACATCTGAACCTACCGAAACCAGTTTTGACGCAGGGAGATACATGAAATAAGGAAGAAGAGGACTGAAGGAAGAAAGCAACTTATGAAGCATCCGTTTTTGGGTGGTTCCCTGGGTTTAAAAGCTTAGCATAAAAAACTTGTACATCTAGCTTCATGAGTTGTAATTAAGAGTTTTTTGAAATGTATGCATAAAATGGCAGTACTTTGTGCCTTATAGTTTGTAATTAAGATATGAGTCTAAATGCTTATATATGTATTATAGATATATTCATCATATTATGCATATATCCCTATGCATAAAATGCACATATCCCTATGCATAAAATGCACATACTCACATATGAAATTCATGTAAGCATGTATCCATATAAACAATTAATTCATATAATAAGTACATTGGGTAATAACTAGGACCCGGTTATCACATTAGTAGTTGAAGGGTTTTTTCATTTCCTATAAATACTCGTCCGATTTCTTCTTTTCACTTTTTACTGTTTCCCTCATCGCATACCACTATTCATCATCGATATCAGACGAACATATCGGTCAAGATCTTCATCTTCTACTTTGTTCTTAAGTTCTTTCTTGGTTAATCCCTGTTACTAAGGTTCGATTACACAAATTGTTTGGACTTGTTTCATCTGTTGGACTTAATGTTTGGACTTAAATCACTAGAAACTGAATCTTAAACATGAACATTTAAAAAATGAATCCATATCTGTTAAGAGCACTATAATCGTTCAAGAACTCTAATGTCAAATCTGTTGGATCAAGGATTGTTTTTCATAGATTTACGACTGTGTATGCAATCGGTTTTTGCCTGATTTAGTTTTAATCGCTTGAGTTTTAATCGATTTCTTGTTAAAGCGGTTTAAGTTTGTGATAACTGAGTCCTGTTTATTACCCAAGGTATTTATTATGTGAATTAATTGTCTTTGTGGATACATGCTTACATGGGTTAAAAACACAAGTATATGTATTTTACACATAGGAATTATATGCATAATATAAAATATATATGTATGCATAATATGTGAGCATGGTATATGTATGCATGCATGAAGTAGCATGCATATGGGTGGTAATGCATAATAGGTGGTTGAGCCGCCATACCTTTTTAGAAAGGTATAAAAGCCTCCATTGTACTCTTCTGGTTTCTATTTTTGGAAAGATTGAGCGATTTATAAAGAAAGACGTTTGACCGGATTAATTTCAACGGATTCAAGAAGCATTCTCGAAAGATTTTATAAGGTGAGTGGTTAAAATGTTTTGAACCTCTTGAATTGCATATTGAATTATGTTTTAAAAGACTTACACATGATTTAAGTTTTACTCGGATAAGTGTTGAGCGATTTTAAGTTAAACCGGACAAAGGGTGAGTGGTTTAAAGCAAAATCAGTCAAGGCATGAGCAGTTTAAGGCTAAACCGCCTAAGGCATTAATCGATATGGTCTTAAACCGGATAAAGGGTTGGGTGGTTTACTCATAAATCTGACACTTGTTGGCCGGTTTAGTCTAAATCGCACATAGTGTGTATGATGTAGGGAGTTATGAGATTTGAACTTTATAAATCGTTTGATTACATTGATCGGAGAAGTATGAATACGATTAAAGGTGACCGGTTTATTTAAATCGGACGAATATGCATAGTGTTGTCCGGATTAGTAATCCGAGAAAACATGTTGAAAATTTACTCTAAGTATTAAGTCGGACATAGTGAAGTGTTGTCCGGATTAGTAATCCGGCCAAGGTTGACCGGATTATGTTTTGACATATCATTTCGTTGATTTTGTTGAGAAATGGGAATTTTTGATAAAATGATTTTGACTTGATAATAATTCCATTGACTGTGGTCTATTCTATATGGAATTGTTTTGTGAAAATATTTTGATGGGGAAATAAGGGTGGCATATCAAGGAGAGGTGTACCATGGGATAAGAGTGGCATATCAAGGAGAGGTGTACCATGGGATAAGGGTGGCATATCAAGGAGAGAAGTACATTTGGATATAAGGGTGGCATTTGTTGTGCGTTATGTAATATAACTCTTATTATTATATCCTTTAAGATTACCGGGGTCTGGAATCTTTATTTCTTTGTGATCTAAAGGTTTAGGATCAGGGTTCTTACTGGTAATCATAATCTGGATGTTATTGAGAAGGAAATAACAAGTTTGACATGAAACTTTGAATAAACCATTTTTGATTTGAGAGGTTTAAAAGTGGCATTGTGATAATTTGGTTAGTGCAAACTTGTTTGGATTTGATATATTGTTTGCAAGCAGAGAATTTGGCTTGAAAAGTGAAAGGTATTGGTATTATGTTCTTACTTGTTCATATATTTGTTATATATATGAAAAGTTGTTTCACTTAAAAGTTTTGGTAATTTTTACCCTGCAATAACATAAATAGGGTAACTCACTAGACCTTTCGGTCTAACCCTCGTTTTGTGATTTTTAATATGTATTGCAGGAAGTGCAGAAGGTAAGGGAAAAGGAAAAATGTGATAAATTCCCTATGTGTTTATTTACATAAAGAATGGCTGATGATGATATGTATAGTATTGATAGATAAATCTTGATTAGTACAAGAATTGTATTTTGGAATTTTTGGACCATGTATTTTGTAATGATAGATTCTTGTACTAGGGGACCTTTGTAGTGTACAAACATGTATTTCTTGTATATGGAATATATGTTACATGCAATGTGTGGTATGGGTTGTTACAGAAAGTGGTATCAGAGCCTGAGTTTAAGGGATTTAGGTATTCAAACAGCATGATACCTAGACTTAAACTGTTTTTATTGCATGTTAAGGTTTCCAAACATAGTTAACACCATTGGAAATAAATATGATGAGTTGAAGGAACAGTGTGTAAGTTAAGTTTTAATTACATCTCCCCAATGTAATTACGAATTTACAGTTACATATCTGAACTTGAATACTTCATTATATTTGGGAATGTGAATACGTGATTATTAACACTAAAATCTGCAGATGTCTAGCCGAACCCGGAGTCTGAAAGAACAGCCCGTCCAGATTCTGAGGAAAGAGAGGAATCACCGGTGTAACACCCCCAAATCCATACATTGCATATAACACATTTCATACATAGAATACATGTTTTCCCCACAAAGGTCCATAATACAAGAGTCTATAATGTGAAATACATAACTCAAATATTCAAAAAGTACATGCTCTTGTATTCTAGCATATATGCTCCAAAACACAGCTAATTAAGATCTTCACACAGCTAAGCACATCGGGAAGTAATTCACATAATGCTTTTTCCCTTATTATCATTACCTGCACACATATTTTTGAAAACACAAAATGAGGGTTAGACATGTATGTCTAGTGAGGTTCCCTTTTTATGTAATGCAGGGTGAAGATCACCAAACCATTAACTTCAAATAATTCATTCATGTAGTAAAGGCTGAAAATCATATTCTGTTTCAAAACACTTTTAATCAAAATCAATGGTCATAGACCATATTTTCTTGTAACCATAACATCAATACTATTATTTCTAATTAGAACAACATCTTTGAATCCTCAAATCACTAAGAAAGGAGAACTCCAATATGTTGTAATCTTAAAAGATATAATAGCAATAGTTATACCATGCACACACACAACGACCATCCTTATTACATCCATTATTTCCCCTTTATAGCAACAGCTATCCATCGCACACAACGACCATCCTTATTTCCCCTGAAAATCTTATAAACTATTTCATCCAATGACAGGTTGCAGACATAACTGTAAAGAGTGAACCTCGTTCATAGTTTTAACCAAAATCTATAGACTATATCATCCAATGACGGAACAAAGTCAAATACGTCAGAGTGAACCTCGTCCATAGTTTAACCAAAAAATCTTATAGACTATTTCATCCAATGACGGACCGCAGTCATATACATCAGAGTGAACCTCGTCTATAGTTTTAACCAATCATGGTCTCAAAATAGGTTTATATAAAAAACCTTTTAAACCAAGAACAATTTGTTCTTCGAAAACTTTCTTCCAAAACAGTTTCCAAACTCTGTTTTCCCGACAGTAACAACTGTCTTACTGTTTGTAACAGTTTATTCGAAATCGTATATCAAAACTCATAGTTTATAATCAACATAACTTTAACAGTTTAAAACTCGCAGTTCATAATCAACAACAGTTTAAAAACTCATAAGTTATATCAAAACAGTAGTTAAACTCACCTTGTTACAACATATTCTGTAGTAATAGATCACACAACGAACACAGATTCTTTAAAACACTAGTTCTTTCTCAAGAACACCTTCACCGTCTTTAACTTTTCTTTCTAAAAAATAACTCTTCTTTCAAAACAAGGAATGATAAGATAAGATTATCTTGTCTTATCTTTCTATTTATACTCCTTTCTATGATACCAATACTTTACTTCATGACTAAGATAC